TTTAAGAACTTAACTTTATCATTATCCAACTAATTCTATATATATGGATCACCACCGTACCTACATATATGAAAAAAGAAATACACTTTGCTATACAGTAATTTCATCATAGTTCACTAGTACATAAAATTTAATGATATCTGCATAATTAGACTCCATAATTAGGTTATCTATAAATTATTTTATTTAAATAAACAAATTCTGTCGCTCTTCTTTTTGAAATTATTCATAAAATCACAAAGCCATAATGTTATTTGCTCAAGTCACTAATCAAAAACATATATTTCAACATCGAAAAACAAAACCAAAAAGTGATTTAAACCAAGTGAAAATCTTCAATAGTCAGAATCACATTATCAGAATCAAACCACCGCATTTCCATAGTCAAATCTTCAATCATCAAGTAAATCTCTTGACAATTCTGGATGAGATCTATCTTCAGCATTAAAGGCATAAACTTTGTTTCTAATCTCAATCCAGCTCCAACCTGGAACTTTCTTCACACCTCTCTCCTTCATCATCTTCTTCACACCAGCTTTCTCTTCCCATTTCTTGAGATCACTGTACATATGAGACAACAAAACATACGTGAAATGATCTTCTGGTTCGATCTCTAGCAAATGGATGGCCACTTGACTAGCCATTTCTATCTCTCCACACGCCCTGCAAGCTCCAAGGAAAGTTTTCAACACCATTGGATCATGTTTCAACGGCATTGATTCGATTAACTCTTTTGCTTTGTTCACAAGCCCCTGCTCTGCCTAAGAGATCAACCGCTGCTGCGTAATAATCCATTCTTGTAAACCGGTTCCATTGAGTAAAGCCGTACTATTACTATATATAGGATACAATGGAAGCTACACCCATGGGCAGATATAGTTTCCCACAAACTACAGCCTACCCATGATGAACTGAGCCATTCGATTCAAAATGAAAAGAAAGGCTCAGCTTGGATTTTTTTATCCCTAGAGAGTCAACTTCGGGGTCGGCTTTGAACAATCAGAACATAGAAACTCAAGACAAAAGGTTTCTTCGTATTCGCTGTCATTGATGCACCGACCACATTATAAACACCTCTGTATGCAAAGAGAACACGCACGGCATTCCTCAGAACCTACCTCGTTCTTCCCTTTACAATCTTCTGCTGGACAGTCGTACACAAGCCTAGAATTCTGACATTTTGGGCACATCTCAATATCTAGCACCCGGTCATCATCACAAGACACACATGAGTCTCCTCTATGGTAAAAACGTGGCTTCTGAATAGTCCGCTCGACACCATCAATGTCACCAACCAAACTACTCTACTTCTTTCTTGCATCTTAGTATCCGATAATCTTTTTTTCCCGACTTTCGCCAAACCAAATAAGCCATACTACTACTATATATATAAGATTCCATGGCAACTACACCCATGGGCAGATACAGTTCCCATAAACTACAGCCTACCCATGAAGAACTGAGCCATTCCATTCAAAATGAAAAGAAAGGCTCAGCTTGGAATTTTATCCCTAAGGAGTCAACTTAGGGGTCGGCTTCGAACAATCAGAACACAGAAACTCCAGACAAAAGGTCTCTTCGTATTCGCTGTCATTGATGCACCGACCACATTGAAAACACCTCTGTATGCAAAGAGAGCAAGCACGACATTCCTCAGAACCTTCCTCCTTCTTCCCTTTACAATCTTCTGCTGGACAGTCATAAACAAGCCTGGAATTCTGACATTTTGGGCACATCTCAATATCTAGCACCCGGTCATCATCACAGGACACACACGAGTCTCCTCTGTGGTAAAAACGTGGCTTCTGAAGAGTCTGCTCGACACCAATGTCTATGTTCAACAACTCAAACAATTCATCAAAGTAATCTTTAGTCACTCCAAAGAGGCCACCGATTCCTAAATGTTTCACTTGCAGCTTTCCCGCTGATTTCAGATCCCTCAAGATGCTCAAAACACCGTCGATAGTGATCCTTGTGCATCCAGGCACGCTAAGCTGCCAACCAGAAAAATATTATGTTTAAATAAGCTCCCACAGATAAATTATACCACCAAGCACTCATATAAAAAGCTTACAGCTCTACTTAATAAGTAATCCAAATTAACTTTAAGAAGAAAAAGCGCACCTTGACTACTTGTGGGTTACGCTCCAACACCCGCCTAAGACCATCATCTGTAATTCTCGAGCAATCTACGAGCCTTAAACACTGCATAGTGCCCTGCGCCTTCTCAGTTAAATGCAGTAGAGCCTCGTCAGTAATCTTCTCATTCAACGGCTGACAAATGTGGATATGCTTCCACAATAACGAGTCATCACGGACAGTAGTATGCAGAGACTTGCAAACCATACTAACTGAAAGAAGATCTTTCACTCCCAAGTGATAGAGACAAAAGCCAAATGCTGGATGAACGTTTGCATTATCTCCTTCATTGGCGCAGCGATCACTGCGTCCTTCAACTTCACCACCATTCCTCGTATCCTTGAGGCTCAACACCTCATCCACACTGCTAGTAGATACAAAGGCACCATGACCATCAAACGCTCCACCAAACCCGTACAACGACTCAAATCCATTACTACTCTCTGGAAACTCCTGAAACCGCATTGCATTGTTCCAAATGAAACTCAATCCAGCAAAAAGCTGCTGGTTCCCATCACCAATCACAATCTCATCTCTTCCATATTGGTTATAATCCACTTCCAAATCCTCAAGCCATCCAGTAATGGCAGTGAAAGTATTGTTGATATCCATACCAAACGGATCAGACGGTAAGATATCGAGTATATCAACCGAACCCGAATCTCCCGTACTCCTTCCACAATCAAAGCAATCGCCTTTTTCGATACTTGAACACCAAGGCTGTGAAAAATAATCACCATTCCTCTCAGAGATTCCATCAACTCGATAACCATTACCTATCTTCTTCATAGGTAAAACCTTGTTCTCCTCAGAAAAGTGTCTATGTGAAAAATTTAAAGCCATTTTTTTTATTCCTCCTCTATATACAATTCAAACCCTAGAAATCCTTTTGTACACAAGAATCAATACCCAATCAAACCCCCTAAAAAAAGATCAGATCCGAACCCAAAAAAAAACTATCTTTTTGTGTGTGTGTGTGTGATTGATAAAAGAAGAAATTAAAAGATCGATCTATAACGAAAAGGAAACTCTTTGATTTCAGATGGCAACAAAAAAATACTAGGCACCGAAATTCTCAGAGCTTCTTCCTTAAGGAACCCTAAAAGGAAACGGAATCGCTAAATGAGAGGTATGAACAACGAATTAGTAGTGAAGATGACAAAAAAATATGAATGAATAAA